GCTGACGACCACAGAGATCTGAGCATTCAGTCTTCCATCATGGATGGCGTAGAGGATCGGCTGAAGTGAGCTGCCTCGGGTAGATCCAACCTAGACAAGGATTCGAATCATCATCATCGTCATCTCGATAATCATCATCATCATCATCATCATCATCATCATCATTATCATCATCATCATTATCATCATTTACCATCATCATCATCATTTACCATCATCATCATCATCATCATCATCATCATCATCATCATTGTACCACTCCGATCTTGATCTGCCTTAACTTCCGCTGGCTCTCAGTCCTCATCGCGATCGAGCTCGACGTGCCAACATCCGGACGGTGGAAGACAGAGCCGGGAATCCTCCTCACCTGCAGCTGGGGTTCACAACAGGCGGAGGAGAGGAAAGGAGAGGAGCTCACCGCTGCTTCGCACTCCTTCTCAGCTGAAGGGATGGAGGAACCTGTGCCAACCTGTGCATGGTAAGCTCATCCCTGCTCCTTTTTCTGGCATGCCCTGCCCTGATCTGCTCTGCTCTGCTCTGCTCTGCTCTGCTCTGCTCTGCTCTGCTCTGCTCTGCTCTGCTCTGCTCTGCTCTGCTCTGCTCTGCTCTGCTCTGCTCTGCTCTGCTCTGCTCTGCTCTGCTCTGCTCTGCTCTGCTCTGCTCTGCTCTGCTCACCAGCACAGCCGCGCACGATCCTGTGCCCAGAAGCTTCCCGCTATCTTCTCGCACGTTGTCAAGCAGGAGGCTGCAGAGACCGTCAGCAAGAACTTTCGAGGGATAACAAACAGAGCGAATTAGAACTTTCTGGGTGGAACCAACACAGCCGAGAAGAACTTTTGAGGGGGGAGAGATGAAAGAACGACCTTGTGCTTCCCTGCAGTTGACTGACATCAACGGCAACGTCTTGTTGTGTATTGAGAGGGAAGCTAGAAGATACTCGTCATGTCAGGACAAGAACCGCCGCCCGTCTCCTTCACCCGAAAGGAAAGATGCACTTCACGACTACGGCCGAGGCCTCGAACTCCGCCTTGAAGCTGGAAAGTTTGCCGTCCAGCAGAGAAGAGAAGAGCGCAGCCTGGTCCGAGAGGATGAGCAGGAGGCGACAAATCACAAGTGACAAGTGACAAGACTACACGAGACAGAACACTCACAATGTCGAACTTGGACCTTGACAACATGGCGACGGTCTCGAACATACCTGCTCGTCCCCGTCATCGTCAGGAGAGTCTTCCCTCCACCTTCAGGTCACCGAAGTTTGCGTGCAGGTCAATCGCGCAGACTCGATTCACGTTCGCGACGTAGGTGATGCATAGAGGGCCCTTGTAAGCCTCCCCTGCTCAGTCGCAATGTCACCTCCTCGTCTCTTCCCGCCTCCTCGCTCCCTCGCTCCCTCGCTCCCTCTCACTGTCTCCTTCCCCCCCCTCCCTCTCCCAGAATGCAACGCCTCCCTCTTCAAGTTTCCTTCGTTTGCCCTAGTTCCCTACGGATATCCGCTGTCCTCCCTGCCCATCCTCCTCCTTCCCCCCCTCCCCCCCCGACCACGAACTTCTTCACCTGTCATCTCCCGGATCGCCTTCAGCGCCTCCTCGTTCTTTCTCTTCGCCTCCTCAAGATCCCGGGGCTCCAGAAACGGCAGCGACAGGTTCTCCCCTCCCACACACCCCACCCCGGACACCATAGGGCCTGAGTCGCCAACGTAGCACCTCCTGTACACCTGGGGAGGGGGCAGGAGAGGGAGTGAGCGGGCAAGCGCATGGCTCTCTGCTACTCTACCTGAACAGGAGGAACGTGCAAGCAACTTTCCCCGTCGCTGAGGGTGAGGAGAGAAAACTCCTGCCCCTCCACCAGCTGCTCCACCAGAACCGCCTGACCCTCCCCCAGCAGAGCTCGGCAGTAGTCCAGGCACTCGCTCCTAGACGCGCAGACTCTCTCCTCCTTCCCGCTGGACTTGATGACTGGCTTGACAGCGCACCTGCCGCCAAGGCTGTCGATGAATGCCTCGAGGCCGTCACTGGAGGAGAAGGTAGCGAACTTGGGGATGTCGGACGGCAGAGCTCTCTTGGCGAGCGAGCGATCGTCTTCGAGCTGCGGGAGGTCAGCACAGAGGAGGAGGGAAGTCGTCAGCGTCGTCGCACCTCAGCCACTCTCTTCTTCGGCGCCAGGGCCCGGATCCCGGAGGACTCCAGCAGCTCGACGGCTCCTCCAGCAAGCGCCTTCCAGGGCAGCACAACGGCGATGTCCGCCTTGTTGGCCTGGCAGAACTCGAGGATCGCGCTCGGGCTCGTGGAGTCCCCTGCCGTCACGACGTCGGCAGCTCTGCTCAATGCAGAGTTGCTGCTCTGAACCAGCATCAGCACAGCGCTGCAGACGGAAGACTCCTTGGCTGACATGGCGAGCCTCGCCGCGAGAGCACCCCCTCCAACGATCGCAAGCCTCATGGCCTCTAGCCTGTCATGGTGGGATCAGGAGAAGCTGCAGAGAAGGAAGTGCGCTGCTCTGATGCTTGTGACATGCACAAGGATTGCTGGATTCTTTGATCGTTCCCTGCCATCCCTGCCATCCTCCTGCTATCGTCCTGCTATCGTCCTGCTATCGTCCTGCTATCGTCCTGCTATCGTCCTGCTATCGTCTCCCATCTCACCGATCTTCCATTCTCAGCGTATTCTGTGCGTCCCTTCAGTCCATCTCTTCACTCAAAACCTTGTCGCTCCTCTTCTCTCCTTACCCCCCCCCCCCCCCCCTCCTGTAGTTCTCTTGCAATAGTTTGATCTTTTCCCCTCAATCTCCTGATCTCTCACCTCGTATGTTTCCCTTCTCTCCTTCTCCTTCTCCTCCTTCTCCTTCTCCTTCTCCTTCTCCTTCTCCTTCTCCTCCTCCCCTCCCCTCCCCTCCGCCCCCTTCGCTTCCTCCCGCATCGCACAAGAGGGCGCATCTTATATTCCCCACCCGCCTCAGAACGACGTCGGGGGCGAGACTACAAGCATGCAGCATGGCCGGACCTGCCCTGTCGCTCCCGCTGCTTCTGCTGCTGCTGCTGCTGCTGCTGCTGCTGACCTCTGACGCTCTCCTGACTTCCTCATGCCTCCTCTTGCTGAGCACGACTTGCCGTCTCCCTCGACCCCTTGAACAGAGATTCTCCTCCTCCGGCGCAAGGGACGCTAGGCCTCCGTTCGCCCCCGTTGTCCCTGCCTGCGATCGGCGGGGCTCCTCTCGTGCAGGAGGTAGAGGAGCATCGCTGAGCATGGAAGAGACTTCGTCCAAGGACTTCACGTCCGTCAGGTTTGTAGACTATCGACGAGACGTCCTCCCCGTCGAGAAGCATGTGGCCCTTTCGGGCCTGTACACCTACAAGGAAGCATGGAAGGTGGCTAGCGAGGGCCATGTGCGCGTCAACGGCGAGCAAGCGAGGTGCGGAGACCTTGTTAGCGAGAGCGACGAGGTCCTGGTTCATGGCAGGCGCCTCCCTCCTCGGCAGAAGATCGTCTCCTATCTCCTGTGAGCCTCCCCGACGCCTTCATCAAACCCTCGCTCCTTCTCTTGATCCCTCTCCCCTCTTGCACGCTTGCATTACTGGCGTCTGACAGTAGCTTGCAGAAACAAGCCGAGAAAGGTCGGAGCCCTTGCTGCTGACCCCGCGGGCTGAACTCACCCAGGTCCTCTCCTCGTGCACCATCGGCGGGAACGCTACTAAAGGAGAGCTGAGCAAGGCGGAAGAGTTTGGGACCGTGATAGACCTGGTCCCCTCCAACCCGAGAGTCTCTCCTGCAGGACGACTGGACTTCGACTCCGAGGGACTCATCGTGCTGACCAACGACGGCTCCCTCATCAAGCTGCTGACGTCACCCCAGTACCAGATGCCCAAGACCTACCTTGTAAGGCTCTCCTCCTCCTCTCCCTCCTAATGTCCCTCAGGCTCTCGTGCGGAGCTTCAAGTACCCGGAGGGCCCAAGTGACGAGCAGCTGGCGAGTCTGGTGAAGGGGATCGCGCTGCAGGTAGTTGCGAACTGGGGGAGGAGTTGAAGGGTGTGAACTCCGCAATGCAAGAACAAGGACGTGCTGTCATGTGCCAGCGCTCGGAGGATAGAACATGGAGCCGAGGACAACACGCACTGGATGGAAGTGATCTTGACGGAGGGAAAGAACAGGTCCTCTCCTCCGCCCTTTCCTCTCCGCCCCTGACGTGCAGCAGGGAAGTCCGCAAACTTTTCAAGGGGATCGGATTTACCGTCCTTCGACTCATACGTACTCGGATCGGCTCCATCGCCGGGCCGTGCGAGCAGGAGGGGAACCTGAGGGAAGGGGAGGAGGGCAACGGGGAGGGGACTGCCGCGAGGGATGCGCGTCAACAGCCGGGGAGCACCCGGAGGGCAGTGGAGTCAGGACAGGTGCTGAGGGTGGGAGAGTACCGGGAGCTGGCGGAGGAGGATATTGTGGGCATTTTAAAGTTGTGCAAAGATTGAAGGAATGCGTACTCATGGGGACCAGGAGGAACGATCCTCCCCTGTCCTCCATGTTAAAAGGCCCTGGGGCAGTTGCCCCTTCCCCTGCCCCTGCCCAGCGTTGGGGCTGGGAGCCTCTCGCAAACGGCAAACAAGAATGTACATGGTCGTCCCCTGCTCCCTGTGGGCTGCGGGGTGTCAGGATCGCCGAGCGCGTCGTCTCCCACAATGCACAGGGCAGCAGCGCGGGTATAGACGAGGTCAGGCAGAGGTTTGCCTCCTCAGCCAGTCCTTCATCTCCTTGAGGAAGACGTCCTTCATAGGGGGGAGCTCGTTGTGGAGCTGCGACCGACCGTTTCTCAGCTCAGCAGGAGGGAAGGAGACGAAAGTCCTCACCTCATGGTATGCGCCCTCGATCTCCTTGTAGGTCTTGTCCTCGGCCCGGCTCCGCTGGTAGAAGGACCTGCTGCCCTCGATGTCGGCGATCTTGTCCTCTGCCCTCAGGGCTCGTTAGCAAGGAAGGACGTCGGGAGGGGGAACGCGCAGACCGGTGCCATGAAAGAGGAGGAAGGGGTGAACGAATTCATCGATCCTCTTGTCCATCTGCTGGATCTTGTGGAACATCTCGCTCCCCCATCGGATCCTCAGGCCCCTGCCATAAACCCGTCAGGCCTCGTCGCCCTGCCCCGAGCGCACATGCATACCCATGGTAGCAGATCGGGTCTGCCTCGAACTCTTGCTGTATCTTGGTGTCGTGGGTGAGAGGGTGACGGGAGAGAGGGCCCTTCTCCCATGGGACCGCGAACTTGGGCACGATTGGCCTGGGGTGCAGCATGAGAGGCTACTGAGTCATGCGAGCTGTGCAGACCTGAGGATGGATAGGAGGAAGATGTTGATGGGTCTGGTCGTCTTGGGCTCGGGCTTGAAGGAGGGGCAGGTGAGGATGACGCCACTGATCTTCACGTTGTCCTTCTGCGCTTTCTGCAACACCAAAGGGTAACAAGACGCCTCCTCTCCCCCTCTTGATCGCGGACCAGGACGGTGTAGAAGGCGATGAGCCCTCCCATGGAGTGACCCCAGATGATGGTGGGCAAAGATGCCAGCCTGCCAGTGACGCGGCGTCAACTCTTCCGAGCTCGAGCAGCGACGAGGCTCACTCAGGGTGCTTGTCCATGACCACGGCGTGGAAGGCGAAGAACTCTTCGACGTAGTCCGCGAAGTTCTCGACATAGGCTCTGTCTCCCTCTGCAAGGGCAGCAAGTCAGCCTGCAGGCTCTACCAGCTCTCTGCTCCCACCGCTCCTTCCGAACCCTTGATGGTCGTGACAGAAGACAGCATACCCCTCGCCGTTGAGAACCCTCGCCACAGGCTCATACTTTTCGCTGTACTCGGCGAATCCTGCGCACACTCAGCGCTCAGACTCAGCGACAAAGTCCATGGCAATCGCACCGTGGAGAATGAAGATGTTCGCCTTCGGTTTGCCCTGCGGCATCCAGGACTTCGTGTAAATCCACAAGTTGTCGCTGATAACGCAATGAGATCAGTGAACGGGAATGCATGACAAACATATCAAAACGTGTTGAGCTCAACCTGCTCTTGATGTAGTCATCTTTTCCTTCGAGATACGGCACTTGCCGCTTCTCGTGATCGAGCTCTTTCACAGTGTGGTGACTCGTAGAAGCTCCCATGGTTGACACGACGCTTAACGGAAGGAATATTTGTTCGCAGAAGGATTCAAAGCGTGCGTGTGGACTTGTCCTTGAGCTATCAGATGAGCTGCTGTCACTATGGTGAACGATCTACAGTCTGTTGATTCGCTGCAGTCTGGTGAGTTGTGCGCAGGTAGAACAACGTCAAGAAGCGCGGGAGGTTGCAAGGTGGAGGAAAGGTGGGGGATGTGCAATGGACGAGGGAGCAGTGATGAATGTGGTCACGGATGAGGAGGACTCGAGCAGGAGGAGGACTCGAGCAGGAGGAGCAGGAGGAGCAGGAGGAGCGGGAGGAGGAGCAGGAGGAGTTGGTGGCGGTGGTAGAAAGTGTCAGGGGCTGGTCAAGTATACACAGGGGGGGGGGGAAACTACCCCTACCCCTCCATTTACTGAAGATCCATACGAAGGGTAGGGTAGTCAGGATGCGGCTGGAAGCAATATGGTCAGCACAAACTCAGCAATTGAGTTATACTATTCAATGATTAGTTATCATTTTAAGATTAGTACCGTACTGCAGTAGTACCGTAGTACGGTACACTACTGCTGCCAACGTGGTACTAAGAATCCCAACAGAGGTTGTACTTCATTACAGATGACTTATGTTTTCAGTACAACTTGCATGGTTTCGGGAGTCGGAACTCGCAGTAGCATACAAGACTCTGGCAACAAACTACTGTAGTACCAGCCGGCCGGGCGCGCGGGCCGTTAGTGATTTTCTACCGTACTGTATTCTCGTACGGATTTTGAACTTAATTGAACTTTGGCAGTAAAAAGATTTCAGTAGAGTCACGTAGTACTAGCAAACCGTAACTTGGCCCAGTTTGAGTCGGAGTCACTTGATACGGTCCGATCGGTGGACCGTTCAACGGTTTCAACCCGCGCGGCACTCGAAGGCTAACTTAGTAACTCTGGCAGTGTGACGGTCACCGGGGGTGGCCGGCCCGGCGGGGGGCGGCAGCCGCATCCCGGGCGGTCACCGCCGGTGACTCCGACTCGGCCCGGCCCGCCCGTGTGGTGGCCCGGCTCGGATGGAAAGTCGCCGGGACACTCGGAAGCCGCGCCGGACTGTAAGACCCGGCGGCCCGGCGGGTTCTGCATCCGCCTGATCGGTCCGATCGCTTTATTCATGATTCGCGGCGGCGAACGTACTACGGTACTACCGGGTACAACTTACAACTCATAATAGGCAACCCTGTAGGATGTGGCCTTGTACCATTGCTCTTGAGACATCATTCGCGTCACGAACATCGCAACCACTACCATGAAACTTCATTGGTCCAGTACTTGCTGACGGGCACTTGCGATCCAGCTTCAGCATCAACCTGTTGCGTCTCAATCAACCAATGCATTAGGCGTTCATAGTAATCAGTCGCCATGCTGTTGTCGTTGGGAAAGGCAGGGAGTGTAGCATTGAATGTCGCCTCGGTGATTGTTTGCTGAGTAGCGTCTGCCTTGCCGCTGTCAACGTGAAGATGGTAATACTGCCGAGCAAGATCCGGTTGTTGGTGGATCAGCCCCGTCGCGCGCCTCATTGCCAGCACAAGTCTCCGCAGGACAGGCTTCATCTCCTCGAAGCGTTTCGGCGTCGTCATGAGGACTAGCTGGCAGAAGTCCGGGACGCCCCATTCCTTGAGGGAGAAGAAGGACGCCTCCTTCATGCCCTTGGCTTTCGCCTCGGGGATCTCAAAGTTCCAGAACACCAGCGTTGCTACGTCGGCCTTGCCAGACAGGAGGGCATCCGTGTGATAGAACCCGCCGTTGTACCTTCCATACGAGCTCAGGTCGCAGTCTGCCTTCCCGTCCGCCCTCACCATTGTGTTGACAATGGCTGGCCCTCCGGGCCCCGGGGAGCCCGGGTACGAGATAGTCTTGCCACACATGTCCGCAGGCCGTTTGATGCTCCCGTTGGCAGCATCGTAGAGCACTCCGCCGTCGGTATGCAGGAACCTTGAGAACCCGAGCACGGGTTTGTCCTTGGCCGCATCCTGCGCCAGGTGCAGAGGCTCGGTGACCGCCACGTCCAGCCTTCCTGCGAGTATCTCCTCCTCAGCCTCCCAGTGATCGGCAGGCTCCACCAGCTCGACGTCCAGGCCGAAGGCTCTGAAGATGCCATGTCGCTGTGCGACGATGAGAGGAAGGTGGTCCGGGTTGACGAACCATTCAAGGCCGAGGCGAAGCCTCTGTAGAGGGAGGTTGTCCTCCTCGGAACATACTTGAGCGAGTGCAACATTGATGATCAGGAGGCTCGAGCACAGAGCCAAGACCTTTGTGTTTAGCCCCAGCATCCTTTCTTGACGTCTGCCGATACTGACTGTGCTGACGGTAGGACACGCGAACTCTGCCGAAGGGGAAGACGGAGGTCAAGGTGACGAAGGAGGCGGAGGCAGAGGCGAAGGAGGAGGAGCAACGGAGGAGCAGACGGGATTGGCTCCTTGTCAGGACAAGAGGGGAGCGGGAGTGTTGACCTCAGAGCTCTTTCTGGATGTGCGACGAGGTTCTCTGCCGTCTCTGCTACGGGAGGGGAGAGGATCGAGTCAGTTATAAAGGGTAACTGGTCCAAGGTCACGGCCACTAGCACCCTTCGACTCCGGGGCCGCTCCGAGGCAGTCACGTATGATTTTTAACTTAACTTCAGTTGAGTAAAATATGGGAAGACAATACTAGGTTTAACTTAACTTTGAGTAAAGTACTAGGTTTGAGTAAAGAACTATCAAACTCGGAAGTCACAGTGTTACTTCGGATCGGCGTTCTATGCAGTGGACGCCGGCCCGCGGCCGCGTTGAACTTGCCGCCCCCAGTTCGGAACGCTCAGTGGGGGGCGGAAGCGGCCCAACTAGTAGGCTCAGCCGCGCCGGACGGTGTCCGATGATGATGCCGGGCGACTCAGTCGGACTCCCGGAGTCCAGGACCGTCTTACTACAGGCTAAGGCTCCCGGAGGACCGGGAGGGCCGGGCCGGGCCGACGGTCCCGGCGGACCCCGGCGGTCAGTGCCGCAGTGCTCCCAGCAGTCGGGTGACCGTCACAGTACGGTCATTGCTCCGGCGCAGATCAGATTGCTCCGGGGAGTCCGGACGCAAAAGGGTACAGGAGGGGATGAGGGGGCACTGTGATGTGGTGGAGGTTGCAGGAGGCATGCAGGGATGCGGGAGGAGGGAGGAGGGAAGGGGAGGGAGGAGCTAGGAGGCGAGGAGAAGGCAGAGGCAGCCCGGTCGTCACTGCTGCCAGTGCGCATGCTGAACCCGAGGTGACATGGTGGCTGATGTCTTCCGTGCGGTAGCTAGAGGGGTTTCTCGTCGGGACGATGCCCTTTGGTTCTAGCAGGGCAGAGTGAGGAGGCTGTTGAGGGAGGAAGCGCGTCATCGAATGCCATTGGCAGGAGCATAGAGAGCCGGTATCATCCCAAGATCTTGCATTCACTCGGCCCTTACCGAAGCATCCCCCTCAACTGAGCGGACAGGAGCAGCCAGGTCAGGATGAGCTTCTTTGGCCAGATAGCGGAGACGTGGCAGGCTCTGATCGACCTCATCATCCGGCCTCCAAGACATGAGTATAGAGTCAACAGAGACCTGGGTCCAAGACACCTGGTGGTGCAAGGAAAGTTCGTCATCAGGGATGACATCGAGCTGATGAACGCCCGCGGGTACATGCTAAAGTGCAGTCACTTCCAGCCGGCGGAGCTGATCGACGTCGAGAACTCGAGCGATCAGGACATGAAGAGTAGGATGAGGCCTCAGAAGAAGCCGTTCCCCTGTGTGGTCTACTGCCATGGTAACGCTGGGTCGCGCGTGGACGCCATGGCGGTGCTGCCGGTCCTCCTTCCGCAGGGGATCAGCGTGTTTGCGTTCGACTTTGCAGGAGCAGGGCAGTCAGAGGGAGCGTATCTCTCACTCGGCTACTTCGAGAAGGATGACTTGGCGACGGTGGTGGAGTACCTCAAGGGGGTGGAGCGCGTGAACCGGATCGGCCTGTGGGGTCACTCCATGGGGGCATGCACCTGCCTGCTGTACGCAGCCAACGGGGGAGACCAGGTGGTGTCTGCGATGGTGCTGGACAGCTCCTTCTCCTCCTTGGACGCTGTCATCTCGGAGACGGCAGCTTCGGCGAAGCAGAAGCTGGGGGAGAGCATCGCGCCGGCCATCACCTTCATGCCGGACATGTTCATCCCGATGGCGGTGGCAGTGATGAGGAGGAGCATTCTGTCCCAGGCGGCGTTCGACATCAGGGAGGTGAACCCTCTGGGCAAGTGCGAGAACTTGCTCCTCCCTGCGCTCTTCGGACATGCTGACGACGACGAGATGGTCTCCCCGGTGCACTCGACCCGCCTCCATGAGTCCTACGGCGGGAACAGCACCCTCATTCGCTTCCCTGGCAATCACAACTCCCCTCGCTCAGATTTTTTTCTCAGCAGTGCGCTGGAGTTTTTCCGCTGCATACTGAGGCCAGGGGACGAGGAGCATCCCGCAGAAGCACTGATCTTCCACAACGCCACCTCCATCAGAGGCCTCATGGGTAATCGAATGGCTGCGTCGAACCGGGGGAAGGGGTTCCAAAGCAGCAACGTCAGCGCAACGGGGGAGAAATGCTTTCATGTGGGCCGCACGGCGAGCAGCTTGTCGATCCTCGCAAACATGTGCTTAGAATGCAACCCAACGCTCCGTCAGAAGAGGGAGGCGAGTCTGATCGCCGCCAAGTGTAGGAAACATGTACAGGCGGAAAAGAGGGCGAACAGGGCTATGCGAGAAGGGACGACAAGCCTGACTGCTGACAGTGGTGAACGAGCAATTGAAGGTGGGAGCATGAAGATTCATCTCACCTCATCGCATCGCATCCTATCTCCTCTCGCTTTTCTTGTTGATGGTTTAGATGCGTTTTCCATTTCTTTGATTCGCCTTGCTCCTCCTTTGCACAGAGCATCTGTTTTCTGATGGTGTTACAATCCTCCTCCTCTCTTCCTACCTTACACCTTAAAGCTTTCTGAACCTTGTTTTTTGTAAGGGGAGGGCAGGGAGCGCGAGAGGAGGGAGCGAGAAGACTCATCAAGGCAGGAAAACTCTGTCAGGTAAACCAGTTGCTCCCCTCCTTTCCCTTCCTCCACTTGCTCCATTCATTTCCTTTCCTGCGACTGACTGAATCACCGAAGTTGTCCCGAGATCCCATCGTCTGGAGATGATGATGGTGGGGTTGCCTGGGGGGCCACAGGGAACGAAGGGATTCAGCTGCCCTCCTGCCAGGCAAGTCTCCCGTGACCTCACCTCCTCGCCCACGTCATCCCTCCCTGCTCCTGCAATGCTATGATACTGTTTCTACACCAAACTCCATCCTCCTCTCGCCGCTTCCTTTTCCTCTTCCTAGTTCACCACCACTACCACCTCCTCTTCCTCTTCCTCTTCCTTCTCCTCTTCCTCCTCGTCCTTCTCCTCTTCATCCTCGTACTCCTCCTCTTCCTCACTCATCAGCACCTTCTGTGTGGCTGACCCTCAACTTGTAGTTGAACAACATCGGAGGTGGAGAATCGCAATGATGGAAGGGATAGAACGTTCGACTAGGGACGTGTTTGCTGCTGCATCAGTTGCCTTCGTCTCCTTCAAACGGGATGGTCGGTGGAGAGAAACACCTTCAGGCGGCGAACATGGAATTCCCAGATTTTTAACTGCGGCGCTAGTGGTGAAGAAGCAAGGGCGTGAATGAATGTTCCATGACTTGATTCTTCACTCGGCGTGCTCTGTTGCTCCTGCTACCTCTTCGTTGCTACTCGATGAGCCTCTCCTCTACACATTTTGTACCCTTTCTGAGCCTCTCCTCTACGCATTTTGTACCCTTTCTGAGCCTCTCCTCTACGCATGCTGTATCCTTTCATCGTTCCATGGAGACCTTTCGTTGGCTTCCTCTGCTGCCGTAGCGACAAGATGCGCTTTGTGCTCTCTTTCTTCGCGCGTTTTATTGACGTACAACACCTTGAGGCGAGAGAGACAGGGACAGAGACAGAGACAGAGACAGAGAAAAAAGAGTAGGGGAGGCGAAGTGAAGGGAGTGATGTGGGTTAAGGACAGGACAGGACAGGACAGGACAGGACAGGACAGGACAGGACAGGACAGGAGTGAAGGAGGAGAGCAGTGAAGGAGGAGAGCAGTGAAGGAGGAGAGCAGTGAAGGAGGAGAGTAGTGAAGGAGGAGAGTAGTGAAGGAGGAGAGTAGTGAAGGAGGAGAGTAGTGAAGGAGGAGAGGAGTGAAGGAGGAGAGCAGTGAAGGAGAGGAGGAGTGAAGGAGGAGAGCAGTGAAGGAGGAGAGTAGTGAAGGAGGAGAGTAGTGAAGGAGGAGAGGAGTGAAGGAGGAGAGGAGTGAAGGAGAAGAGTGAAGGAGGAGAGGAGTGAAGGAGGAGAGGAGCGGGGAGAGGAGGAGAGGAGCGGGGAGAGGAGGAGAGGAGCGGGGAGAGGAGGAGAGGAGGAGAGGAGCGGGGAGCGGAGCGGAGCGGCAGGAAAGGAGCGGGTAACTGGCTTCGCCTACTTCTCTTCCCCCTCGTCCCACACCATCCACCGGTCGGATCCTAGGGGGTTCAAGACCACCCACCCTTTTCAAAGAATATTGTCGAAAAGGTACCGGTCATGAATCCCAGAGCTGGCAACACGTGGGTGTGGGGGGGTACTGAGTTACTGTGGAGGCGGATGGGGGCGGGAGGAGGGGAAGAGGAGCGTGGGAGGAGAAGAGGAGGAGGAGAGAGAGAGAGGAGAGAGAGAGAGAGAGAGAGAGTAGGTGAGAGGATGAGGTGAGAGAGAGGAGGGGAGAGGATGAGGGGAGAGAGAGGAGGGGAGAGGATGAGGGGAGAGAGAGGAGGGTGGGAGGAGGCTGGGTCATGGAGTTTCAAGAGTCTGTGATGGAGAGGAGACGTACACGATGGGGCAATGGAACGCGGCGCTGGAAGGGAGCGAGCGACAGGCGACGAGTGGCCATGAAGATAGACTGAGCTGAAGTGCTCATGATGGAGACGTCAAGAGAGGAAGAAGCTGGCTTGTCAGCAGTGTAGACCGCCAAACTTGAAAAGAGCATCCTAGGGAGGAAGGGGAGGGGCAGGGAGAAGAATGCACATCTGACGTAGTAGTACGTAGCGAGGTGATGACAAACATGGCAGGATCGTTCCGAGCGAAGCGATGGCGGCATCAAGACTCTTCACGCTCTCCTCGCTTGCCATGCAGGTTTGACTTCTTCCTCTGTGACAATCTCACGGGTGACGGGGAGCGGCAGGCAAAGGCCGGGCGGTCACCCTCCCCTTCCATGCATGCCCAAGAGAATCAGGTGCGATCACTTGACTCAATATCCTCATCCTCCCTCCCTGCTCCTCTCCTCTCCTCTCCTCTCCTCTCCTCTCCTCTCCTCTCCTCTCTTCCACCCGTCCTATTTCTTTTGATCTCTTCCCTTCTCGTCCTCCATCTGCTCATTCTGACGAACTCCCCCCGAGCAGGCGAACATTCAGCAGGATGCTAGACCTCTGACCCAAGAGGACATCATCGCCCAGGTTGGAGGAGCACGAGCACGAGGATGAGGACGAGAAGGAGGAGGAGAATGATGAATAGGAGGAGGAGGCAGTATGCCGCATGTCTAGTGATGAATTTCCCGCAGCTCAAGGCAGAGAATTCGCGCCTGCGGCTTCGGATCCGGAGCGCCGAGGACGACAAGAAGCGGTGAGTCGACTGATGTGAAGGAAGCGGGAGAGGAGAGAGGAGAGGGGGACGGAGGGGCAGTGTGTTAAGGGAGCAGGAGAGGAGGAGGGGCTGACGGGTTGGTCAGGAGCCTGGCGGAAGTTGAAGTGGAGCGAGAGAGACGAACGAGGCTGGAGGAGAAGATGAGCGAGTATGAGGTGCAGCCTCCTCCTGCAGCTAGATGACCAGCTGCGCTCCTCCTACTTCTCCTGTCCTCTTGCTTCTACACCGTCGCTGACGCTTCGTCCTCCAATTCCTCCTCTTTCTCCTCCTTCCCCTCCTCCTCAACCCTCCTCCCACTGCAACTGCTACCCCTAGTGCTAAAACACTCTCTGCTAATCCTACTCCTGTTCGTGCTCTTACTACTCTTGTCATCCTTCTGCTCCTCTTCCTACACCTTTCACCCCTCCTGCCCGCCCTCTGCTGCTGCTTCCTGACGTCTGCGCAGTCTCGTCTTGCTGAGATGGATCGTCTGGAGAGAGCGATAGTGCACCTTCAGGCAGAGAAAGAGAAGCGACAGGTTGCGCTCAATGGCGATGATGATGATGATGAGGAGGAGGAGGAGACGAGGAGCAGGAGCGAGAGGAGGAGGAGGAGGAGGAGGAGGAGGAGGAGGAGGAGGAGGAGGGGGGGGGCTTCTGATATTGTCGTCAGCACTTCACGGACCAGCATGTCAATGAGATGGATCAGGCCAAGGCGGAGCGACAGAAGCTGGAGGACGATGTGAAGAAGATGAGGGAGGAGGAGAAACTCATGAAGCTCAAACTCCATCAGTCCCATGACTCCCTGAAGAATGCTGAGAGGTCCAACAGACTCCTCTTGTCTTCCCCCGCTCCTGCCCCTTCATCTCCTCCTCCCCCCCTCCCTTGCTCCTCCTTCATCTGTCCTACTCACATAATCCTACCTCCTCCTTGCTGTCGTCTGGTCTCCTCCACCGCTCCTGCGGCGCTGTTCTTCTCCTCTCCCCTCCTCGTCTTGCACAGACTCCTCAGCCGATTCCCGCGAGCGAGGAGGAGGGTTGATCTACTCGCAGGGACCTGGAGGGGATGATCAGGCTGATCAAGTTCCTCATGACGGACCTCGACTCTTTTGCGCTAGACATGCAGGTGGCGAGGAAGGGAGTTGATTGACCCCGTGACTCTGCGAGCAGGAGGAGAGCAGAAGGAAGCAGGAAGCCGAGGAGGATGGGAACGAGACGGAAGAATTGATTGAGGAGGAGGAGGCGTCGGACGTCATGGGAGAGGAGGAGGAGGAGGACAAGAAGCTGGAGGACGAACAAAAGCATGGAGGCGAGGACGAGGACGAGGACGAGGACGAGGACGAGGACGAGGACGAGGACAGTGACAGTGAGGATGAAGAATTTGTGGCTCTTAAGGAGAAGGCGGAAGGCTTGTGAGTGTCTCAACTTGTTTGAAGAGGTCGAGCAATGATGATGATGATGATGATGATTTGCTTTGTCAGGCAAGCACAGCTTGAGGACAGTCAGGTTCCTTTCCCTCCCTCCTCCCTCCTTCTTCTCCACCACCCTACTCTCTCCTCCCTGCCCCCTTTCTACTCTCTCCTCCCTCCCGCCCTGACGACATCAAAAGGGGAGGATGGAATCGCTGAAGCAGCTCAAGGAGGAACTGGAGGAGGAGAGGAAAACTTTGACTGAGCAGATCTCCAAGCTCCAGTCACAGGTTTCTTCTTCTCATTCCTCTAATTCCGGCAGCCTCTGCCGTTTCGTCCTCCATACCTCTATCCCCTCCCCTCCCCTTTTCCGCTCTGCTCATTCACCCCTTTAGGTCAAGGAAGTCAACTTCCTCCGCGAGACCGAGCTGAAATTCCTCCACAGCATCCGAGTTGAGGTGTCCACCACCACCACCACCACCACCACCACCACCACCTCCTCCTCCTCCTCCTCCTCCTCTCCTCCTCCTGTCCTCCTCCTCTCCTCCTCCTCCCTCTCCTTCCTCTCTCGCCCTTCTCCTCTGCTGCTCATTTCTTCTTCCTTGCCTAAACCATGAGCAGGTCGACAAACAGACACAAAGAGCTGAGGAAGCGGAGAGGCTGCTGGGGATAGTAGAGAGGAAGTATCAGAGGGCGACGGAGCTTCACAAGCAAGCAAACGACGACGACGACGACGACGAGGTGGTGGAAGTTTGATCTCAGCCATGTAAAAATTTCCTTATTACTGGTTAGCAGGATGACGGCAAGGAGGAGGAGGAGGAGGACGGCGAGGAGGAGGAGGAGGAAGAGATGGAAGAGGAAATAGGGGAGATGGAAGAGGAGGAGAACGAGGAGGAGGAGGAAGAGGAGAACGAGGAGGAGGAGGAGGAAGCAAAGGAAGCAGCACAGAAGATTGAGGACCAGAAGCTTGCTATGAAACCGGTATGTCGCCCATCGGAAGAGGAAGGGCTCACCCCAGCCTCGCAGCTGGCCAAGTCGAGGAGCGAGAGGAGGAGCGCGTCTGCCGCGGGAGCTGCGAGCAACGAGAGGGGGAAGAAGGAGGAGGAGGAGTGTCAAGGTGAGAGAGGCAACGGAGACCGTCTGAGCTGAGCGTGCACGCAGAAGTCACCAAGGAGGCGAGAGGGTTGCGGTCCTCAAGGTTTCCCCTTCCCTGCTCCCTCCCCTCCTCCCTCCCCTCCTACTGCTCCTCACCGGCATGCAGGCAACCTCCTGCTGTCTCCTCGAAGCCGCAGGAGCAGAGGAGGAGCGCGAGGAGTTCGGCAGCGCAGGAGAGCAAGGAGGAGAGCAAGGCGAGAGCAGCCGCGAAGAGCAGGTGAGG